CAGACCGGATGCGGCGTCTGGTTACAGCCAGGCGAGACCAAGCGGCGCGAGAGAAGAACTATGCGGCAGTATGAGTCTACCTGCGGGACCCAGAGCAAGAGCGTTGTGCTGTGGTGGTGCGCGACCACCATAGTTTCCATCATGTAACCTAAATTTGTACTTCCGACTATATTAAACCCGGTGTTTGTTTTTTTATAACCAAAAGCCCAGTCCTCAAGACCTTGTTTATTTTCCAGAATATACTTTAGACTATTTTTAACAGCAGTTAAAGGCGAGTTAACTGCGGTTAAGGATCCCCGTGTAACACCTGTACAATTTGCGTTTCGGAGGTTATGGACGTGAAGGCTTTACTCTGATGAGTATTTAACGAGAGTAAAATAATCGTTTCATGACCCTTTTAATTATACTGGATGCTGCAGCTCTTTCTATGCTGCAGCTTTTTTACAGCGGAGCTGTTAAGGGCTAGGTTCCCCAGGATCGTGTCCGTGTATGTCGACACAAATCTAGCTGGAGAGCTACCACCATCTATAAGCGACGGCGGCAAGCACACAACCAGTATGGTTTCCGCCGTCGCTCGTAGCTGGCGGCAACCTTTCCAGCTATAATAGAAGAATGGATAGTTGAGCGCGCTGGTGGGAATACATCGTAGAAAACAACGCGAAAAACAGACGACCACGAAGAAGAAACATAAAGTGTATCGAGTATACAGCTCCGCTAGTCTTCTTTCTTCACGAGAGTGGAAAGGCGGAACGTTTTTTGTCGTCTACTCTGAACTATTAAGAAATTCTGACTGTGCGAGCACAGACGAAGCCACTCTCCAAAGCTACCATGCGTATAGCTGCTTCGCTACAGACGAAAATAACGAAATAATGTGTGCCAACACTTTCCGGGTATAAATATGACTCCACACTTGCTCAAGATTAACGGATACAAGAAACCATATTTCATCCGTTTCCTCGACGCGTTGATACGTGCTATGCTCAATAAAACTCTCCACGTTCTTGTTTTTTCCCCCTATTGTGGCAGCGACACTTGTTTTCTCTTTTATGTCTACATATTCTGTGCTGTAGTGTGCTTGCCTTTTTAAGGGTTTCTCAGCACCCCATAGTTTGAGATCAAATTCAGGCTGAAATAAAAGAGGAGGCGTTCGGTTCCAGAAGAAAAAACGTGTATATATATATATATATATATATATATATATATATATATATATATATATATATATATATATATATATATGGTGTTTTTTTAAGCTTTACAGACTTGTTTAAAGAAAGCCGTGAAAGTTACTCTTATGCGGCTTGTGGAGGAGAATTTTACGGCAAGGGGGACATCATGCGGGTAGCTAATCTTTGTGATAAGCGGGCTAATTAATTAAAATTTGTTAATTAACTTTTAATTCGTGAAAATAGACATATCGGTCCAATTAGAAACTTAGAGAGCATCATCGAAGACCACTAAATCAACTCTTTTTAGGACGACTTGAAGCTCGTGGGAAACTCGGGGGCGCACCAAAGTTACCACTCGAGCAGCAGGCGCAAAGCTAGCGGAGGCGGAACGCGATGATAATAGGCCGTTTTCACTGGCGGCCATAGCTGTGTGCGCGACTGCTGAGCGCGTGCTGCAACGTGAGTTCCGCACCATCGAGATTACCGGTCTTAGCAGCCTAGTAATGTGAGCTGGTTCTGAGCACGCGCCCTATTATCCACATAGCTTTCACGAGCCTCGAGTCCTCGTCCTCCATGGCTGAACGAATACTAGCGGCGGGATTGTTATCCCCGCAGAATAGTTCCGACGGCGGCCGCGAGGCAGCGCCACCGTTCGATCTCCTCCCCCTATGGAGTTTTTGTAGATCGCTTGCACCATCCCGCAACGATACCCGGAACTCTACAGTCAAGTCCATGGGTTCGCAGGCGCAGTGGCGGCTTCTTCGTTGCGGAGGGCTTAGCGGAGGGAGAAACGCGGTCTACGAAAACTCCCTAATCTAATCATCGGCGTGCCGCAACCGCTTTCCTTGTACCTGCTCCCCGAGTGGCAACTTTATCTACTACGCTTCTCACGCGCTGAAAGTCTTTCTGAAAATTACTGATTTAGTGGTTTTCGACGACGCTCAGCAAGTTTCTAGTTGGAGCCATATGTCTATTTTCACTAAGTAAAAATAATTACCGAATTCTAACTAATTTGCCGATCGAGCTTTTATGATTAGCCCCTGTACTATGTCCCCCAGGCCGTATAACTCACCTGCACATACCGCATAAGTGCAACTTTCACGGCTTTTTTTAAACAAATCTGTAAAGCTTAAAAAAAATGTATATATACAGTATTAGCCCCGAGAGCGAAAACAAGCGTCGCTGCGGTCGCCGTGCCCTGATTGGGTGAAGTGTACCATGACGTCAGGGGAAGGACTCCGCTTTGCGATCTCGTATCAGGCTCACTTCCCTGTCCCTGTTTCCTGGTTTGCGATCATTCTGGCCTACTGTTCAGCGCCGCAATGCAAAATCCCGAAAAGAAGTCGGTATCAGCTTTTACCACTTGAAGATATCGAGGTTAAAGAGAGCTTGGACGATCAAACTAAGGATGGGAAAGGCACCGTCAACGTTGGCCGTTGTGTGCCTCAAGCACTTCAAGGAGCGGGACCTCGTTTACCCGGTGTACAAGACGCTGGGTTAGGTCGATACCGACGTGCTTCCGTACCTTTTTTAAGCGTGTTCGTCACTTTTACCATTTTAATCCGGTTAAAAATTCCGTAAACTATCGGCGGAGGCAATTCCGCCGATGAAACTCCCCGTGCGTCCACACGACACAGGGCGATCGTCCTTGTGTCGTCAAGCAGGCCGGTGAAGCGGCGGCGTTTCAGACGCTGGAATTTTGTTCCTCGCATGTTGATGAGTTAGGAGAATATTACATCCCGCTTTGCAGGCCTTTCAGATGGCATTTATATCAGAAGCCTTTGGGCGGTCGGAAAATTAGCTCGTGACCCCGACTCTTCGCATGTCACTCTGCAAGCGCTGGTACGCAGGTGTTTTAAGGGCCATGTGTCTGAAGGGCTTTAAAATGCTCGTGGGACAGCTTTTTTTTTTTTTTCTTTTTTTACAAATATGTCGTTTTTTTTAAATATTTATATAGTTCGTACACCTATACATTCATGTTCTGTTTTTAGAAGACGAACAATTAATGGAAATTAGTTTGTATAGTAGCAGGATAAATGACCGAAATTCCCCGAGTTGCCTGTATGAGATGTATTGAACTGCCCAAAATATGCACATTAATAGTACCGTAAATGGGAATGTTTATAATTTTTCCTGACATTCTTTCTTTATTCCAGCCTTGTGAATTCGGAAAATATACCGTTTAGTTTGAATTGTCATTTCAAGGTAAAAGACACACTGCTGCAGATTTCAAAAAGCTTCCTTAGCTGCGAAACTCCCTTGACTTTCTGACAACAAGGGAAAACAGGAGGAACAGCAGGCATTCAAACGGCTGTCTAGTGGAAGATGCTGCACCAGTAACATAAAAATGTGGAACCTCTGAAAGGGTGACAGTTTGCGTGAAAAAAAATTTCTGGTATTTTAGCTTCAGGACCATTTGATTTAGCTAATATCTCACTTATAGAGCCTATAAAACGTAAATGTCGAGAAGGAACTAATAATCCAGTAATACGACCTGTCTTAGAATACGCGGATGTTCTTAGGGACCCTGCGACTAAACTTAATATTGATCGACTTGAGGGGTTACAGAAGAAAGCCCTGCGCTTCATTTACAACGAGTACAGAAGAATGAGTTCGATCACTAACTTGTACAATAGGTCGAAAATTGAGCTTCTTTAAACCCGGCGCATGATTAATCGTCTAAAGCTTTTGTATACCATTGTACATGACTCATCTCGCCTTTCGTTTGAGAGATTTATGCAATTTAACACATCCCGTCACACACGACACAAGCACTCCAACACAATTGTGGTACCTTACAGCAGAACCCAATGTTTAAAAAACTACTTTTTCGTACGAACCATTAACGAATGGAACAGTCTTCCTGCCAACATTACCAATGTCTCGTCTCGGAGTTCGCCTCATCACTACAGCGTTATTTCTTAGATGTGCAGTCCTAGATGTGTTTCCTTTTACTAGCGTGCAATGTGGTTTTCTTCTTGTGTGTTGCCCTGTGTGCCCTCTCCTGCCTTGGCCGCCAAATGGCAGCCGGCAGTATGTCTAAATAAATAAAGAAATAAAAAACGGGCTAGATACCTTAACTTACGTTTTTTGTACATTATTTGAGTGACATTATAAACAAGTACACAGGTACCACCAGTGGAGTCCACTGAAATATTATCCGAATCCAGCAAAGACCAAATGCGAGCAATATAGACAGATATAAACAAATAACTGGTACCCATGCCAGTGAATTCCTTCTATCTTTACTTTGTCCCTGTACTTGGGCTGTCTCAGTTGTGATTCTCTCTCCATGGCCCGTACTATGCTTAACATGTTGCCCGAGCAGCATGCAGATTCTCTGCTTCGGCGTTTCTGTTTAAAAATAGAGATGCAAAGTAAACACACGAAATAGTATACATAATCTACCGATTCATTCAGACCACCAACAGCATTGATTGCGTGAGATGTAAATCTATAGCGATGCTCCTGCAAGTGTGGCCATATTTTTTTTTTTTTTTTCATATACTTATTTTTCATATATATTCATGCATTGCCTGTCCTGTCAACCATGCCTGAAATGTTGGTTGAAGTTTTTCCTGCAGCTACAGGCCACACCTCAACAAAGCCAGATATGAAAATATACAGTTCCTACAAAAAACGCGCACAAACAAAATTATTTACAAACGAGCACGCCGACAGCTTATATCATCACAGCCTCCACAGGGCGGTCGGGGCGAGTCAGGGAAAACTTCTGTTTTCGCCGTGACTTCACCCCGGTTCGCCGTAAGGGGGCGCCACGCAAACTTCTCGGAGCTGATAGAGCAAGAGCAACTTGTAAGGGGCAGTTACCTTCGACGTTCGGGAGCTCCATGGACTTGGGAGGTGCCACGTGACCCGCGTGCGAGACACCCCACACGAGCAGCTGGCCCCTATGTGCTTCGTAGATTTCTCGCATGAACTCGGAGTAGAACTCGATCGAACCAGGGTTGCCTGCAAAGATACACAACGGACCCGTTTTATGCCTCAGTCACAACGGTCATACGTTACACAGGGCGTTCGTTGCAGACAGAATTTCCCGCGGCTCAAGCATTTCCGAACCACGTCCGCTCCATAAGTATGCTTGGAACATGTTTGCAGGCAGTCTTTGTTTCACCAATCTGACCGTCATACAAGGAATAAATCGGGCAGCATCGGTAGACTCTTTGTATTGTGGTAGCAGTATTGTTTTCGGCTTTAGCCCTTCAGGTTCTGTCGCCGACTTGCGTCTTATTTGCAACGTAATCAAAGAAAGAGAAATAAATGCGTCAAGTCGTGTTTACTTTACACTATGCCCGCAAGCACATTGAACGTTTTGGGCAGAGGGTGTTTTCAGAACTCTATGCGCCGAGAGAGTGAGGGAGAGGAGGAGACGTCAGAACGCCGAGGGTTGGAACGATTACTGGGTGGGCCTAAAACTAACTGCCTTTGTTTCCACTATGGCGCCTGGAGCGCGTCTTGGACTGGTGTGTTCAGCGTGCCCAAATATCAAAGGTAGTCCCGAAGTGGCAACAAATGACGTCACAGAAGCCGGGGTGTCATGCTGCTGCTTGTCGCGATCCTGGCGGTTGGTCGCAGAAATGCCAACGAGAAGCTGCGAGTATATATCGCAACCGAACGCGAGAGTCGCTGTCGTCGCAGCATCCCAACTTCTGGCGGCCGAAGCTTCCCGTGGACTGCCACACTGGAGAGCGACCTGCAGCAGAACAGGCGTCTGCCACATGCACCGCAGCTGTTGGGACGCCGCCAGGATCGCAACTGATGACTGCATGTCACTCTATGGCGTCATCAGGCAGAAATGGAGGGACCACTTTTCTGTACGCGGTAAAAACACCAGTCGGAGACCTGTTCCAGGCAGCATAGTACAACCGCTAACCAGGGGTCTTTAACGTTCACCACGCAATGGTGATTACACGAATGCATGCCGGTACGAAACTCATTCAGATCGAAACGGACAGGGGCTGGGGATCGAGCCCAGGAGGTTCTGCAGCGCAAGCCTTCGCTCCACGCTCCGAGCTGAGACGCGTTAGCCCTATAGGGTGTCTTCATGTGCGCTTTGCTTAGGGTGGAGACATCTCGCCATTTTGTCCCACACATTTATTTTTCTTTTTTGTTCAAAAGCGCGTGAAAGAGCGTGTCCCTGCACGCGTTTGTGGCGCTGACTGTGCTATGGAGACATTTTGTTTTCGTCAATTTCTTTGTATTTTACCCGTGAGCGCGTGCTGTCGGCATCGGGTACTACAAAGGGTGGCATCACCCTTAACAGAAGGACATTGAGGCACCCTAAATAGCCCACTCGGCCACCATTCCCCCCCCCCCCCCCCCCCCCCCCCGCCCCGCGCCCCGCGTGCTCTCGTCTCCTACTCTCCTTCTTTTCTCGGCGCATTGACATTGGGTGCTCGAGGTGTCACTTCAAAGCTCACTTCGAAGTGTGACCCAGGAACGGTATCGCGGTTTCGGAAACTATTTCATAAAACTGCATCAATCTAATCTCTCTCGTCCTTTGTGCGGTTTTTGCCCGTGTGATTACGCATAGACTTATCCACGAACATTTCTGTGCAGTTATCTGCACGTGCTCGCGTGCGTGTAACAAATGATAGATTGTATTGGCGGGTCAATAGGTGGCGGGTGAACGACTGACCTGATACGAATTGTACGTGTGTTGTTGCTCATGTGCAAACTATCTATTCTATGCTATCATCAGACATCATCGAATACCTCCAAGCATTTGTCCGAACAATGTTGCACAGCATAAGCGGATTTAAAAAAAAAAAAAAAGGGGGGGGGGGGGGGGCGCAAGTGCGCATGGCGAGGCGCGGTGAGGAGGAGAGCAGGCGGAAACCCTCTGTAGCAAGGGCTATTCTCTTGTCGTGAGAAATTTCAAGAACTCGGTCGTGAGCAAACGCCAGTGTGAGAACGAACATTTATCTTCTTAATTATAATAGAAGTTCGTATACTACGTAGTTGCGTACTTTTAAAGCACGGAGTCCCGGAAAAGCAGAATTCTCGCCAAGGATGAATATTTTATCTTAATTTTTGACAGCGACGCGGATGCTGTGCGTAACCAACCCATAAAAAGGGTCCACTTTACCGATCGTAATCGAATAAGAGTTTAGCCGGGGATTAATTAATTGGTTGAATTATTTTTCAGCCCGTCACCAATACGGTCTAAACTTCTGGTTGTGCAGCTGGTCCTGGCCATGGTATACTAAATACCCCCTTCTCAAAATTAAAAATTAAAACGGCGCAAGGACACGGACAAGGGCATGAATTGGTAGACGAACAAGGCGCTCTTCTTGTTCTTGTCCGTGTCCTTGCGCTGTTTTAATTTTTAATCATGAAATACCAACTAGCCCAAACTTCCACGTTAGTCACCTTCTCAAAAGTTCGCGCCATTTACGTACGTCGAATTTCCGTGTTTTTTTTGTTTTTTTTCGTATTTTGAGTTTTTCTATTTTCTGGAATTCTCGTATTGTTTACGGTGACTGACTGTCTTCATTCTAAAGGAAAGTGAGCCCACAGACATTTTGTAGAGTGTGCGCTGAGGTCCCATGTGTTCTATTGATACACGGAAGGGCGTCTGTATAAAGTACGTTCAAGTAGGCACGAGAGCGAAGGATTTAATCGCAAATGAAAAAAAAAAATCTCCGCTTCGGTTTTATAAAATCAACGGGGAACTTCGACAGCTCGTAATTGTTGTTCATGGATGTTTCGCCAACGGGATGTTGGTCTGCCTGGAGGGTGCCTCGTATTTCCGCTGTAAGTGAAGTACGACTGCGAGCCCGGGGTCGCGGTATGAATTACACGGGCGCACGCCGTATACAATGCCCATCCGGATCGAAACGCGCACGGCTGGGGATTGAATCCGGAATCCGTGGCTCCTGCAGCACGACCTTCCGCTCCGCGTGCTCAGAGCTGTGGTGCGTTAACACTATCCATTTTTACTTGAACTGGATTGGTATATACAGTGTATCTGAAGCTCTCGCTTTCTTTTGGAAGTATGTCTTGAAGTGCGCCGGCTTCGAGAGCAAGTGGATAAAACAAACCCCTTAAAAGGATACTGAACCAAAGAATTTAGTATCCATAATAAGTGGCGCACGTTCTTTCCACCAGCCAGCAGCCGCCGGTGTGCGCGAGCACACGCAACGAAAATGACGTCAAAGACCTCCATTCGGAGTCATGAAACGATATTGGGTTGGAATGTTCACGACTTTGGAGACTCGTACTGGTCCTAGTCTGGCCCAAGTATACTGGCGCAGACCACCACTGATTCAGAAGCTTCTTTGTCGCGGTAAAATTGCGAAGATAAAAGGGGATTATTTCTTTCAGTCTTGCCTTCGCAAAGCTCGATGACGTGATTGCGGGGTCGAAACCACTCGCCTGATGACAGCTGAGCGCGGCTCATGGACTGGACACGGAGAACTGCGTGAGCACTGGACTTCGGCTGGCAACAATCAAAGCCTTGACGGACGCTCGTGTAGTGGCTCGTGTCCAACCACTGCGGTGATGAGAATAGCCGAACTCTAACAATGCCTGGAGCTCAGCCAACACCACCTAGACAGAAGGCCTCCGAATGGTCTCCTCTCTCTCTCTATGAAACGTCATCAGAGTCGGATCGCGCTAACTCGGCTATTGGGCCCGAGCCCGACCTTCGACGCGCTGGTTGGACACGAGCCTCAGCCGAACGCTGACCCAGCTCTCGTACCCAATCTCTCGCCTCGATCGATCTGACTAGGATGACGCGTGTGGAGGCCTTCTGTCCAGGTGGTGGTGGCTCAGCACGCATTTTCTACTTGGCCAACCCCAGCGCGTGGCTGTGGTTAATGCTGGCAGCATAGGATAGGCACCAGGCCACGTGGCCGCTTGTTCTGGGTCCGAGTTGAGGGGATAAAGGATGGTCATATTTCTCGATTTTTTTTTTTTTTTTGGCGACTGCATTTGCTTAGAAAGATAAACTAATACTTGGGCCACACGGGAAACTCGAATGCCATTTACAACGAACGGAATTTGAACGATCGGCCAATCAGCGGGCGACACTCCGAGCGTGGGGCGTTCCACGCGCGACAGATTGCGAGCCGATTTGTTATCACACGAATGTCATTAGTTGTAAATGGCATTCGAATTGCCCGTGTGGCCCAAGTATAAGGCAAGTTTATTCAGTCATTGATCTTACGGAGTAATTCTAAGGAGTATTTAGAGCGAATGTAGAAGAATCGTTTTATGATCCCTTTCACAAACTTCACAATTCAATTTTTTTTTATTTCTTTATTTTTAGAAATATTGATAATATTTGTTGCTTCAACGCGCGAAGAGCGTCTCACGAGCACGAGTTCCGCTTCTCGCCTCCAAGGGCCGCACGGGGCAAGCGTCTCGGCATCGGAGCCTTTCAAGTTTGACGCCATCGCAAGACAAGCACAAACACATCGAGAGGCTTCAGATAGAACCTTTCATTTAAGCAGCTTACCGTGGCTAACTTCACAAAACCTGCAAACGCCAAGCTTCTACGTAGATTAAAAATTAGATAAACAAAAAAAAAAATCAAATGAAGATCACTGTGACGCTCAAAAATATATTGCGATTTCAGACAACATATATATATATATATATATATATATATATATATATATATATATATATATATATATATAGAGGTATGTTGGCTTGGAGGCCGAAGGCGTAGATAACAGATGCAAGGTGACGGTAGAAAACAAACTAGGAGGATTTTATTCGACGTTTCGACCTGAGGCAGACCTGCCTGAGGTCGAAACGTCGAATAACATCCTCCTGGTTTGTTTTCTACCGTCACCTTGCATTTATATATATATATATATATATATATATATATATATATATATATATATATATATATATATATATATATATATATATATATATATATATATATATATTGTACCTTGTTCAAGCGAAGGTTATACTCCTGGGTATAAATGAGTAACTTTGTTAATTGCGCTTCTTTCATAAGCTCATTATTCGCGCTAAGCTTCGTAACTGTTTTTAATGTTTTCGCATAAACCCTCACCCTTACATATTTCATTTCATTTCATTTCATTTATTGTTCTCTCAGGGCCCGAAGGCATTACAGAGAGGAGTGGGTTTTTTTAAAACGGAAACATATGAGTATAACGATACATAAGGCAAGACATAAAACAAAAGTTATTGAACATCAAAAAAACTTAGTAATGGCAATTTTAAAATCAGTAGCATCAGTTATCGAGACTATGGGTGCAGGAAGGCGATTCCAATCTATTGAGGTCTGAGGGAGAAAGGAGGCATTGAAAGATGAGGTGTTACACTGCTAATCTTGGCTCCACACTTCTCACCGTTTTCACCTTTGTTTCAATATAGAGGAGTAGCTTTAAAGGGGCCGTGCAGCAATATTGGGTAGTATGGTTTTTTTCACTTTACACAAGTTTACTGCCACTAGTGAGTCCCAAGCTTACTCGCATACAACATCACTGACCAAGAAGGTTCTTTATCGCCGAGTAATTTCAAGGATAAAAGCGGACGTTCTCTTTCAGTCTTTCCTTCGTAAAGCTTGATGACGAAGTTACGGGGATATCGCTTTGTTGGCGTTGTTAACAATGGGATTTCATTATCAAATTTCTCGATTCCCGCTCCGCGGCGACGATTTTTTTTATGCCGCTTCTACAGTGTACACGATCACTGCCTGATCATTCGATTAGGCTCGTGACAATCAATGCCTCAACATGCACTCGTGCCTATAATCGCTGCGATAACGGGAATAGCCCAAGTGGAACTCAGCTCGTTCTCGTGCCATGTGCTTTACCGACGCAGCGAGTGGTTATGATAAATATTGGCGGCGTATAATCGGCCCCAGATCACGTGGCCGCTCGTTCTGGCTGCGAGCTGAGGAAGTGAACGCTGCTCGTTTTTCTCGATATTTTTTTTTTTTCTGCATCTGCCATTGCGTGGAGAAAAAGAAAAAAAAAACTGACGTGTGTTTTCTAGGGAATGAATAAGAAGGAACAATTCTACCGAAAGTACAACAATTCTTGCATCGTCCCTTTAAAGGAAGGCGAGGCCAACTATCTTCCGCAACGTCGTATTTTTTTCCTTATTTTTTCTTTACCTGTGCAGATGCGTGTGTGTGCATTTGAGGTTTACTTATCGTTTCAATCGAACTGCGTGCTGAAAGCGAATTTCGCCGGCGTGTTTCATTCTTTTGTTTCGAAACATCCACGTGACGTATATATAGAGAGACGAGGCACTCTATCGACCTTGAGCGGACTATAGAACAATGGGCCGACACGGGTGCCTAAGTTCTGTGTGCACGTTTCCCGTGTTTCTAAAACAGCGCTTCTCTCGTTTGCTTTTCTTGCTTTCTTGTTTGCAAGACGACGGTCAGTTGGCGTTTGCCCGTGCGTTCCTGCTGCTCGCTTACTCAGCGGGAACACGAAATCCATGTCAAGTTCTCAGCGTGCTCTCGGTAAAAAAAAAAATATGATTCTGGCGTCGTTACTTTCAAGCTTTTTCTACTCCGAGCATGGTGCGCAGAAGTATAGGCGCACGGATATTTTAATGCAACGTTGTATTCGTACCGATGCTAACTCCGATGTGGCCTTGAAAAAGTGAGTGAAAGGTGACCATGCTGCCGAACACCCGCGCCGCAAGCTCCGTGGGCCCGAATACCACCTACAGAAGACAAGGCTTGCGCATTTCTCTTCCGAACGTCGTCAGTAGTGGATTCATTCAGTTCTGCTTAGCTTGTGCCAACTTGCACCAGAATCCAGCAGAGGAAGTTGAAGCATCCTCACTCTGGGTTGCGAGAAAATTCCACCAGGCGGATGGAGGTTCTAGGCCCGTTCCTGACCCTGTGGTTTAGATGCCCCCAGTTGTTTCTTTAAAATTGGCTCTAATAACGAATTTCACTTTTGGTGATTGGACCCTATTTATTTATTTTTGATGGGTTATGCCATTTGACGGTGCAGGTTGAGAGACAATTTTGTTACTTTTTATATATGTTTTTTTAATTAGAAGTTGTAATTGTATACCAGACAAGCATTCATTTATAAAAGCAGCACCACCTTAATCATCGCAGTGGAGCTGCGTTTCTAATGCCTGGCCTTATCGGCCAGGCGAAAATTGCCGAGTCACTGCTGAGAACGCGTTCCGCCGCTCAGTGGACAGAGATGGAGGCGCGCAGGAGGTCGGAATAGTCGCAATCGCAGGAACCGCGGGGAGAGTCCTACGAAACTTATCATGGCTCCAGGGCCCATCAGATTGTTGCAACAGTAAATAAGAACACCGAGAAAGAAACGAACAAGTGCGAAGCTGATAAGCCTCGCGCTTCTTTATCTGCCAGTGACAATAGTATGGTGCCACCGCCAACAAAGAAATGAGTGAAACTAACCTGAATGCCGAGCTTACGTTACTTTACAATAAACGATTCGAATGCTCGCCATCACGAGCTCGTGATGGCGAGCTCTCAGAAAAAAAGGGTATATTATTAGTTTATTACACCCCTTGCCCATATAATACACCCCAAAACTTCAATTCGACGTACAGCGCCCCATAATCGAACAGGCGACCCCAAAGTTTATGAGGGGCTTCATAGCCGTGTGGTAAAATTTATTAAGCTAGCTGATGTACGTAATAATGGGTACAAAAAAGATTATCAGAGTTTTCTTGGCCGTACTGCAAAAGCTCCGTGTTTTCTTTCTTTAATCTTTTATACGTACTTCAGCAATTTAATAAGTTTTATCGCACCGTTATCAAGCCCCTGGTAAAATTTGGTGCCGTCTGTTCGACTATAGGCCGCTGTACGTCAAAATGAAGTTTTGGGGTGTATTATATGGGACAAAAGGGTGTATGGTGATACCCTCTTTTTTTAGAGTGAGGGTAAGTGTCTAATTTTTGGCTGCGAGGGAAGCATTGCGAACACCAGTCCTTTTTAATTGAGTGATCGCTAGCTGGGGTCAAACAGATTTGGTTGTCGTACAACAAGCTGAACGGGCTATGGATACACATTAGGCAACTCGAGCTCAGTGCATTCTCCCATGCGTTCTGCAGTTCCGTGCTTAAGCGTGAAGTGTTTCTGACGTTTGCTGGGGATGCGACAGGGCGTCGGACATGCACGCACTTTCATAGCGAGAAGCACGCTCCAGGGATACGCGCCTTTCGCGGTGGTCTTCTTCTCCTCTCACTGTCTAGAGGCCGCTGACCTCGCACGTGCAGTGCGCGACACCGTTAGCGTGAACGCCACTCTCTTTGTCACGTATCGATCAAACCTTCCGAGCGGAATCGAGGGGCTTCAGTTTAACTGGAGCAACCGGCCGAATGGGAGATGTAGCCAAATGGAGCGTCTGGAGATTCGAGCCACAATTGGCCGTTTAGCTAAATTGGAGCGTTCTGGCCGATTTGGACATTCTAGCCACATGGACTCATCAGCCAAACGGACACCCCGGACGGACTGGGGCGACACCGTGAATGCTCAGGTTTCACAGTTGAAGAACTTGA